TGAGGCTTTACCAATGCAGAGTGAGAATGAAGGAGAAAATCAAACTCGCCAAGTGCTAGTTCCATCAAGAATTCAACCACCAAAGCTAGAGCAAAAACTACTACCTAGTCACCTCAAATATGCATACATGGGTAAGGATTCCATATTTCCTGTCATAATTTCGGCTTCACTAACTCTTTCTCAGGAACAAGAGCTTTTGAGAATCTTGCAACGACATATCAAAGCCATAGGATGGACTATTGCCGACATTAAGGGTATAAGTCCAACTTTTTGTATGCATAAGATACTCATGGAAGAGGGTTACAAACCCTCAATCCAATCCCAAAGGAGGCTCAATCCACATATGAAGGAAGTTGTGAGAAATGAGGTAATAAAACTATTAGATGCATGAATTATTTACCCTATTTCTGACAGCAAGTGGGTGAGTCCTGTGTAGGTTGTCCCAAAGAAAGGTGGCATTACCGTTGTGAGAAATAACAAGGATGAGCTCATACCAACTCGAACTGTCACCGGATGGCATGTTTGTATCGATTATAGGAAGTTAAATGAGGCAACCCGAAAGGATCACTTTCCACTTCCTTTCATCGATCAAATGCTCGAACGGTTGGTTGGTCATTCTCACTATTGCTTATTAGATGGCTACTCTGGCTACTTTCAAATTCCAGTTGCACCGGAGGACCAAGAGAAGACAGCTTTTACATGCCCTCAAGGAGTTTTTGCATACCTAAGAATGCCATTTGGGTTGTGGAACGCATCGGTTACCTTCCAAAGGTGCATGACAACTATCTTCTCCGACATGATAGAAACAAGTCTTGAAGTTTTCATGGATGACTTCTCAACTTTTGGTACCAATTTTGAACATTGTCTAGCTAACTTGTCTAAGATTTTGCAACGATGTGAAGAGACCAATTTAGTCCTTAATTGAGAGAAGTGTCACTTTATGGTGACGGAAGGTATAGTACTTGGACATCGCATTTCAGCTAGGGGGATTGAGAATGACAAAGATAAAATTAAAGTTATAGAACGACTTCCCCCACCTATCAACGTGAAAGGGATTAGAAGTTTCTTAGGACATACCGGTTTTACCGGAGGTTCATTAAAGATTTTTCTAATATCACTAAACCCTTATGTGAATTGTTAGCAAAAGACAATGCTTTCAACTTTTCTGAATGAGTGTTTGCAGGCTTTCAACAAGCTTAAGAAGGAACTCACATCCGCACCCATTATCACAACACCCGATTGGAATCTTTCATTTGAATTAATGTGTGATATGCTAGTGTTTATGCAGTAGGGGCTGTTTTGGGGCAGCGGAAAGAAGGGAAGTTACATGCCATTTACTATGCAAGTAACCTCCTTAATGATGCACAAATGAATTATGTGACTACTGAGAAAGAATTACTGGCAGTAGTTTATGCATTTGAGAAGTTTCGATCATATTTAATTGGTTCAAAAACCATTGTGTACACTGATCATGCAGCCATCAAACACAATCTTTCTAAGAAGGAAGCCAAACCTAGACTACTTCGTCGGGTTCTTCTTTTGCAGGAATTTGACATAGAAATCCGTTACAACAAAAGGCTCGGCGAACTTGGTAGCCGACCATCTCTCAAGGTTGGAAGAAAAATCACTTCCAATTGAAAATTTGGATATCGATGACTCATTCCCCGATGAGCAACTCTTTGCCATAATAACGAAGGGAGCCCCTTGGTATGCTGACATTGCAAACTACCCCCGCAACAGGTAAGCTTCCTGAAGCGTCTTACCAACAACGCAAGAAATTGATCACTATTTTAAAGAATTACATATGGGGATGATCCATTCTTGTATAAGCATTGTGCCGATCTTATGATAAGGCTTTGCATTCCTGAGAATGAAGTCTATAGTGTACTCAACTTTTGTCATAGCTTAGTTGCAGGAGGTCACTTTGGACCTCAAAGGACAACAACAAAAGTCTTACAATCGGGTTTATATTGGCCTTCTTTATTTCATGATGCCCGTAACTTTGTTGCTGCGTGTGATAGATGCCAAAGAACAGGTAATATCTCATCTAGGATGGAGATGCCACAAACACCAATCTTGGAGGTGGAGATGTTTGATGTTTGGGGTATAGACTTCATGGGTCCTTTCCAATCATCCTACAACAACAAATACATTCTTGTCGCTGTCGATTATGTATCAAAGTGGGTGAAGGCAGCCACATTGTCAACCAATGAATCAAAGACGGTGGTGAACTTTATGAGAAAGAACTTGTTCACCTGTTTTGGAGTGCCAAGAGTTGTCATAAGTGATGAAGGAACTCATTTCACAAGTCGCAAGCTGAATACACTCTTGGCCAAATATGGAGTCAAACACCGCATTGCGACACCATACCATCCACAAACCAGCGGACAAGTTGAACTATCCAACCATGAGTTGAAGCACATCTTAGAGACCACCGTTAACTCCTCTCGGAAGGATTGGTCGAGGAAGTTAGATGATTCATTATGGGCCTGTAGGACTGCCTATAAAACCCCATTAGGCATGTCTCCATATCGGCTAGTGTTTGGCAAAGCATGTCACTTACCGGTAGAGCTCGAACACAAGGCATATTGGGCCATCAAGAAGTTGAATTATGATATGAAACAAGCCGGAGAAAAGAGACTCCTTCAATTGAATGAGCTAGATGAGATCCGTCTCAACGCCTACGAGAATGCCCAAATCTATAAGGAGAAGACGGAGAGGTGGCATGATCAACACATTGTAAGGCGAGAATTCAAGGTATTCCAGACCATTCACGGTGACCAAAGTCTTCCCTCATGGCGCCATCGAGATTCTTTGTGACAATGGAGTGTTCCAGGTGAATGGCCAGAGACTCAAACAATACATAGAAGGAGAATCCCTGCTGGAGATCTCCTCTTATCGCCTAAACTAAGCCATTCCAATGTCGAGCTAATGACGTTAAATTTTTAGGACGTTTGAAGCATCTCCATAAAGCTTAAGCTCAAAATTCGTTGAGGAAGGTATTTTTCCAATTTTATAGGTGCATTGGCAGAATGCTTTGATGGAAATGTGCAGTGGAGAAATGCTTTTTGCAATGGAGAAATGCAGTGTAGGGTAGAAGGCAACACTGATGGACTTGAAGAGCTAAAACGCAATTAGATAAAAAAAAGAGGGACAATGAAGCACTTTCCTTTTGTTTTTCTTATAAAAAAATCCAAAAATTACACAAAAAAATGATGACAAAAAGAAAAAAAATGGAAAAGAAAATCCGAAAAAGAAAATAAAAACAAAATAAAGAGAGTGGGCGGTGTACATGGGCATTGGGCCGTGCTTGGGCCGGCACGACACGGGCACGCTTCGGGCCCATTTATTTCTTGTCGTGCTTAGCACGAACCGTCAGTTTTTGTGTCGTGCCATACAATCCTATTTGTTAACTTTTCTAGCACCGGTCCAGGCCCGGGCACAGTTCAAATCCTGCCGTGCCTGTTTGTGCTCGTGCCATGCTCGTATTCGTGTTTAATGAAAAGGACGAAAACAAAAGAGAGAATGAAAAAGAAGGTGAAAATTGGACGGGGGAAGATAGTATTAATCGATAATGTTTGAGAAAAGTAACAAATAAGGGGTATAAGAAAATTAGAAGTATAGCGAGTGTGATTTGCCTTTGTTTAATTCTTTGTCCATTTTTACTTATGTTAATAATTACATATATATCTTTATGACACTTCTAACAACAACAAATAATTATTTTTCTACTTCTTTTTTATAATATTTGAACCTATAATTCTTTTTATATTTATTTTCTATCAAATAAATATTATTTTCGTGCCATGTCCGTTCTTATACTCAATAAAGTCTCGAAAATATTAGGCCCGACACGGCCCACTTATATACCGTGCCCGTGCTCGTGCCCGTTCCCATGAAGTTTAGACCAGGCACGGCCCATAAATTATTCGTGCTTGTGCCGTGCTGGCCCATTTATTTCGTGCTCGTACTCGTGTCGTGCTCTAACCGTGTCGTGCCATTCTAGACCGTGGGCGGCACGGCCCGGTGCCCACGTACAGTGGGCGGGTATTCTCCCGCATAAAAATAAAAGGGGAAAGAAAAAAAAAAGAGAAAGAAAGAAAGAAAAGAAAAGAAAAAAAGAGAGAGAAATAGAAGAATGAGAAAAATAACCAAACCGGAAAAAATAATCAAACTCGACTTCTCTCTCCTAAATCTCCTCCCACCGTTTTCTCCTTCTTCTTCTCCTTCGTTCGTTCTTCTTCCCTCTTCTTCTCCTTTGTTCTTCTTCTGTTGTGTTAAAATCTCCACCAAAACTTCAAAATTAAAATAAGAACTCACTACATCCATCAATTCAACCTACACCCACCTCCATCAAACAAACCCAATTTACCCAAGACTCCTTGTTCATCACTTTTCCGCAGTTTCTAGGGTTGGTTAAACCTCAACTCAAGCTGCAAATCCCTCCAAATCCGACCAGAGCAGCCCTCATCCACCTCTACTCGAAGCTTAACTCTCCTTTGCATCTATCAGTTGACCAACTTTCACTCCCTTCTCAACAAGTAATTTCAATCATTCTCATCTTTGTTGCTATTGATTTGTGAAGAACGAGTAGAGCTGTGTCCATGAGAAGAAAAATTATTTGCTGAGAGTTGTTCGATTGTGTGGGAAATCTTGATGGCATAGCTGGTTTTGTTTGACCATTCGAAGAAGAAGCTTCTTCTACTCGAGTTTTAGTAGAAGAAGGTTTGGGAAGCATCCATGGTGAGGAAGAAACGGGCTGAAGTTGGCCACTTTCAAGTGGTTGACCATAGCATTGATGAAGAGACAGAATTCAGAAAATGGAATATGATTAACTCCTTAGATCTTCTCTCTGAAACCGGTCCAGTTCCAGAGCCTAGACCAGAAGTTGCGGAGTTGAAGTTCCCACCACATTTCATAGGATTGTCAGAGACAACACTGAGAAGAAGAGAGTGGAAAGAGTTACTGTTATTCCTATATCGGAAGGATCAAAACTTCAGATGATAGGAGACTTTGTTCAAGCCACAATGGACACCTTTGATGATTTAATGGAGCTGCCATCTGAGCACCAAAGCAGCAACAGTCATGTACCTCCACCACAAGCAAAGGAAAGTGTCATAACCAAGCAGGGAGAGCCACCAATGAATCGAACACGTTATCGCAACAATGCACCTCAACCGGAAAGAAAACAGAAGGCTAAAGACAACAACAAGAAGTCACCATCAAAGAGGCAAGCTCCCTCACAACCTACAGCCCAACCGATAAGCAAAAAGGTCAAAACTAATACAAAATCAAAATCGACAGCAATAAAAAGTGGAGTAGATGTCTCAGAAACCTGCGGTAAACCTCTCATTCCTCCTGAACATATGGAGAAATACAAGACTCTTCTTGCTCGGCCGGTAATTCCCTCTCAATTTATGGATATGGATGTGCTGAAAATTACTATAATAGAGGAGAATGTGCTGAATTACTTCAAGAATATGGGATGGCCTAGATTCCAAGAGATGATATTTCCTACTTATGAGAAATTTACAAGGGCGTTTCTAGCTACATTTGTCTTTCATAAAGATGGAATCAACAACAGGTTTCAGTTTTCTTTGGGAGGCAAACAATTTGAGTTGTCCTTGAGCCAAGTAGATGGTAGAGCAGGGCTATGATTGGGGAACTGCAAGGAGATCGAGACGAGCACCAGGGCGGGGTGTGCATGCTGTAGCCACCCGGTCATCTGATTTGGTGCAGGTGGTATCGAAACTGGTTTCAGCCATCGATCGCTCTGGAATGATTTCAGGTACAGGACAACAGCAGGCGATGCACTGCCAGTGGTGTGAGAGCTCCCATCACACCGTGGAGGACTGTTAGGCGTTGAGGGAGTCGTCTACTCCCCAGGAGCAAGTGGACTTCATCGGCAATGCCAGGCGCTTCGACCCCTACAGCAACACTTACAACGAGGGGTGGCCCCAGGATCCCAACTTCTCCTGGGTTGGGGCCAATTCTAGACCACCAGTCTCCCAGGGACCACCTGGCTTCCAGAGGCCTCCTTACCAGGCAAGGAAAGGGCGATTTCAGCAGCCGCAGCAGCCTCTCTACCCGCCCAGACAGGGGCCAGTTCCACCTAAGTCACAGGTGCGGCCATTTCATCAGTCAGGGCAGCCTCTGCAGCCCCAGTACAGAGTGATCCGATGGCGAAATTGCGAGATCTTGTGGGTTCTCTGGCCACCTCCAGTGAAAACAAGTTCAATAATATCGAGCAGTTCATGGAGAAAGCTTCAGGTAAATTCTTGGAGCTAGAAGTTGGCCAGAGAAACACGCAGGATGTGCTGCGGGATATCCATACCCAGCTTGGGAGTGTGGCCCAGGCTGTAGCCCAGAGGAATCCTGGTACTTTACCCGGTCAGACCATCCCTCATTCGCTGGACCCAAATGAGCACTGCAAGGCCATTACTACCAGGAGTGGTAGGACGACTGCTGATTCACCTATTTGGACACAAGAGAGAGAGACCCCTGCTTCAACACTTCCAGCTAATGAGGAGGAAATAGAGAAGGAGGTTGAAGTGCCTGCTCCTAAGCCGCGACCAGTGGTGAAGGAGTATGTACCACAGCATCCCTTTTCTACTCGGTTGCACAAATACCGACTGGAGACTGAGTTTGCTAAGTTCATGGCAATGATGGAGCATGTAAACATAAGCATGCCCTTCGTGGAGGCATTATCGAAGATGCCCAAGTATGCCAAGTTCATGAGGGATCTCCTCACGAACAAGAGGAATCTTGGGGAGTTGTCAACGGTGATGCTCAACGAGGAGTGTTCTGCCACCCTGCAGAACAAACTACCAGAGAAGCAAAAAGACCCTGGGAGTTTTACTATCCCTTGCGTGATTGGTAGTTTGCATATAGGGAGGTCCTTTGCGGATTTAGGCGCTTGCATAAATGTCATGCCATATAAACTGTTTAAAAAGCTAGGCCTAGGTGAACCCATTGATACTAGGATGAGCATTCAACTTGCTGATAGATCCATTGTGAATCCTAGGGCATTGCATAGGACTTGATAGTCGCAGTAGGGCCATTCTCATATCCTGTTGACTTTGTGATTTCGGATATAAATGAGGATGTGGATGTGCCTTTAATATTGGGTAGGCCTTTTCTCGCCACTGCTAAGGCGCTCACTGATGTGAATTATGGGAAATTGATTTTGCGACCTGGGGGTGAAAAAATCACCTTCTCTATTTCTGATAATATGAAATAACCCCAGCTCCATGATGATCTAGACTACTGTGATGTTATTGCTGATTTTGAGACCACACTCGCCATCACGAGTGCGGGTACTGACGATTCCTTCAACATTGTCTTTTGCTAGGGGAACAGGCATCACAGGATGTGTAGCAGGAGGAGCAGCTCGCGGAGCTAGACGAGGCCGCGATCGAGGGCCGAGAGAAACAATTCAAGTCGATCCCTATCTCGCCCCGGATTGCCACATCATTGGAGGAGCCACCAGAGTTGGAGCTTAATCCCCTCCCCTCTCACCTGGAGTATGCATTTCTCCGGGAGGGGAATAAACTCTCGGTCATTATTAGCTTGGATCTGACACCCGAGCAGAAGAGCATGCTGGTAGCTTTGCTGCAGAAGTATGCCCGGGCCATGGCATGGATGATAACAGATATCAGAGGCATTAGCCCATCCTTCTGCTCCCATAGAATTTTGATGGAGGATGAGGTTAAGCCAGTCAGGAAGCGACAACGGAGATTGTCTCCCAACTTGGAGGCAGTGGTCCGGGCAGAGATTGTGAAGCTAATGGATGCAGGGATCATCTTTGCTATATCTGATAGAAAGTGGGTCAGCCATACTCAAGTGGTCCCGAAGAAAGGCGGGATGAATGTGGTCCCGAATGAGCTGATTCCGATGCGGACCGTGACCGGCTGGAGAGTCTACATCGATTACCGGCGCCTGAATGACGCCACCAAGAAAGACCATTTTCCCCAACCTTTCATTGATCAAATACTGGAGAGGTTGGCTGGACATGAGTTTTATTGCTTCCTGGATGTCATGTCTGGTTATTTCCAGATCCCTATAGCACTAGAGGATCAGGCGAAGACCACATTCACTTGCTCCTTCGGTACCTTTGCTTATCGGAGGATTCCATTCGGGCTGTGCAATGCACCGGTGACCTTCCAGAGATGCATGCTGGTGATCTTCGACCGACTGGTCTGAGAGATCATGGAAGTCTTCATGGATGACTTCTCGGTTTATGGAGACTCCTTCACTCATTGTCTCCATAACCTAGAACTCGTTCTGAAGAGGTGCGAGGAGACTAATCTAGCACTCAGCTGGGAGAAGTGCCATTTTATGGTCCGTGAGGGGATTGTGCTCGGGCACAAGATCACCAAGCAGGGGATTGAGGTAGATCGCGCGAAGATTGAGACGATCAGTAAGCTACCTCCTCCCATTTCTGTGAAGGGTATTCGCAGATTTCTGGGTCATGCAGGCTTCTACCGGCGCTACATTAAAGACTTCTCAAAGATTGCTTTGCCTCTGACCAAGCTGCTAGAGAAGGATGCACCATTCCAATTCACTCCTGAGTGAACAGCTGCATTTGAGACATTGAAGGAGAAGCTTACCCATGCAGCCATCATGGTGACTCCTGACTGGTCTCTTCCCTTTGAGCTGATGTGTGACGCGAGTGACTATGCAGTAGGAGCAATTCTGGGTCAGAGACGCGAGAAGCACTTCCAGCCCATCTACTACGCGTCGAAGACCTTGAACGGTGCACAAGAGAATTACACCACCACTGAGAAGGAGCTCCTCGCTATGGTTTATGCATTTGATAAGTTCCGACCATATCTGGTGCTCTCCCATGTGGTGGTCTACACAGATCACTCGGTGATTCGCTACCTGATGACCAAGGCTGATGCAAATCCTAGGCTCATCCGCTGGATCCTGCTTCTGCAGGAATTTGATATAGAGATCTAGGACAAGAAGGGAGTCGAGAATGTTGCTGCATATCATCTTTCACGATTGGAAGCCCCTCCGATAGAAAATTTCGTTGAAGAGATCGATGACTCCTTCCCGGGTGAGCAATTGCTGGCAATGCCATTGGTGGACAGCATGGCCCCTTAGTATTCTGACTTTGCCAATTATCAGGTGGGCAAGCAGCTACCAAAGGGGATGGCCACTCATGCAAAGCGCAAGTTCTTCTCCGACCTGAAGCATTACTTCTGGGAGGATCCTTTCCTCTTTAGGATCGGAGCAGATGGCGTGATCCGGCGCTGCATCATGGAGCACGAGATGGGAGACATCCTGGCTCCATTCCACGAGAGACCTACTGGAGGTCACCATGGAGGAAACCGCACGGCGAGGAAGGTGCTACAGTCGGGCTTCTATTGGCCCTCGCTCTTCAAGGATGCAGACACCTTTGCATGACAGTGCGACAGCTGCCAAAGGTCAGGTAACATTTCTTCACGGGATGAGATGACCCAACATATTTCTGTCATTTGTGAAATTTTTTATGTTTGGGGCATCGATTTCATGGGCCCATTCCCTCCATCCTTTGGCAATTTGTACATACTAGTTGCAGTAGACTACGTCTCGAGGTGGGCAGAAGCTCAAGCCATGCCCACCAATGATGCAAGACGGGTCTTTTCATTCCTGAAGCAACTGTTCTCCCGGTTCGGGACACCTTGCGCCATCATTAGTGATAAAGGAACCCATTTTCAAGGGCAATTCACTAAGATCCTCTCGCGCTATGGTGTTAAGCATCAGGTGTCGGTAGCTTACCATCCTCAGTCAAATGGTCAAGCCGAGCAGACGAACCGGGAGCTTAAAAGAATAATTTAAAAGACGGTGGATCAGTCCCGCAAGGATTGGTCCACCAAGCTCGATGAAACTCTTTGGGCGTATAGGGCAGCCTACAAAAATCCGATTGGTACTTCACCCTATAGGCTTTTCTATGGGAAGGCGTGTCATTTGCCAGTAGAGCTAGAGCACAAGGCCTTCTGAGCCCTTAAGCTGCTAAACCTGGATTTGAGTGTTGCAGGTACTGAACCTAAGTTGTAGCTGCTGGAGTTGGAGGAATGGTGTTACCACGCCTACGAGAACACCCTGCTCTACAAAGAGCAAACCATGTGTCTCCACGACGCTCGATTGAGGGGCCCGAAGGAGTTTCAGGTAGGTGATCGTATTCTGCTCTTCAATTCACGCCTGAAACTCTTCTCGGGCAAGCTACGTTCGAGGTGGTCGGGGTCGTTCACGGTCACCCAAGTTTTCCCGCACGGTGCGATGGAGATCAGCAATGCTCAAACTGAGCCATTCAAGGTCAATGGCCACCTCCTAAAGTTGTACTTGGGAGGTGCTGTGGAGCGCGCCGAGCTGCTGATCAAGCTCGAGGACCTTTACTTCCTCTACTGGCGTCCAGCTAAAAGATGGTAAAGAAGCACTTGTGGGGAGGCAACCCCACCTAGGTTTGCATTTCCTTTCCTTATTCTTTTTTCTTTTTTGTGTTTTTTAGTCTTGAGGAGTTGTCCAAGGTTCGAATGTCTATTTTGCACGAAAACAGGTCAAAATTGGGCCTCTGGAATTTCACACGGCCAGGCCTAAATTCCACACGGCCGTGTGGAATTGGCCTTTGGCCGTGTGAAGCCCCTGTGATTTCCACACGGGCAGCAGGGGT